AATCCTATTTATACATCTGTTTCACCAGCACTGCAGACAAAATCATTAAAACAGGAAGCTAAGTTTTCTTTAGAATGGACTAGTGGATTTAAAACCAGAGTGATGTTGCACAACTCTTTGAATATACTTAAAAACACACTTAATTGTTTAAATGGACGCATTGTATCGTATGTAAATTATCTCAGTAAAGCTGCTTTAAAAAAATCAGAATGTTTGAAATAATTTTGACTGCTTTTGAGTGATTTCAAATGGACTCCTTGCATATATGACACTTCCACAAAGAGAACCATCTCTGGGGTGAGCTCCGCACCCGTTCGTTATTCCAACTTTCACGGGGTTAACAGAGGTAGGCGCCCAGTTCCTCCAGGATGAAAGGCCGGATGCTTGTAACCGAAGTTAAGCATTGTTATTTTTTTTTTTTGCGTTGAGGTATTTGTGACTATGTTGCAAGTCTGAGCACTAAAAAATGTTGTCACTTTTACAAAGGCAATTTTTTGTTACTTAGTAAATTACATTGAGTTACAGATCTAGTCTTAAGGCTTCAAATTGCAAAAATCGATTATCCATTTCAAGTGGGTTTTGCATATTAAAAAATGAAAACAATCAGGTTAATATTTCAAAAAAAATTGTTTACATTAAAATCAGTGCCTGTTACGGGAACCATTTTAGCTCTGACTTAGCCTTGAGGCTTTGCGTTGACAACTCGAGTCGGTCAAGTCGAGCCAACGCGGGGAGGGTTTAAGTGGAAGTACACGTGCCCTCCCGACTTCTTTCGGCCCTCACTTCGCCTCTGAGGACGAGCTGGAAGCCCCTGAGCCTCTCCCCAGGGCTGGCGGGGAAGGGGCCGGGCTGGGCCGGGCCGGGCGGGAGGGCTTCCTGCGGCCAGGGGCGGCCGCGTTCCCCGCAGAGACCAGAGCTCCGACCCAGACTGGACCCAACGGTGGTCGTCGGGCCGGCAGCCCTCACGGCGCCGACCGCCAGGCACGCTCCCGGCCGCGGCCAGGGCCCCGGGCCTGTGCAGCCCCGCGGAGGCCGGGCCTGCGGGCGGGCTGGTCACGTGCGGCCGGGAGGGGCGCTGGAGGCCGGGAGTCTGCAGGAATGTAGTAACTTGCAGGGGAAAGTTTCCCTCGGCGGCCGGCCGCGGATCCGGTGCGGGCGGGCGCGCAGAGGAAGGAAGAGCCGAGAGGAGGCGGAGCCGCGAGCCGCTCGGGCGGGCGCTTCTCTCAACTTTAGTTTTGGCGTCTGAGGCGAGTTTCTGTCTCAGTCGGGCGCAGCCGCCGCCGGGGAAAAGAAAGGGAGGAAGGAAGGAACAAGAAAAGGAAATA